TGGTGTGCATTTATGCGTTTGTGTGTGGCTGCAAGGTTTGTGTATGTGTGCGTAGCTGGAGGATGAGGGGGTGTTTATGTGTGTGTAACTGAAGGGTGTGTGCGTGTGTGTGGCGAGCGGGTGAGAGGGTGTGTAAGTTTGTGTGCGAGGGGTGTTTAGACGTGTGTGTGGCTGGAGGGTGTGTGTGCGCATTTATGGGTGTGTGTGTGATTGTGTCTGTGTATGGCTGGAGGGGGGGTGTATGTGTGGCTGGGGGTGCATGTGTGTGTAGCTGGACTGGGGGTGTGGCTGGAGAATGTGTGTGTGTGATTGTGTTTATGTTTGTGTAGCTGGAGGGGGTGTTTGTATGCTGGTGTGCGTGTGGCTAGAAGGTGTGTGTTTATATGTGTGTGGCTGGAGAATGTGTGTGATTGTGTTTGTGTGTGTAGCAGGAGGGTGTAGCAGGAGGGTGTGTGGGGGTGTGTGTGTAGTTATGTATGTGTGTGTGGCTGGAAGGTGTGTGTGTTTATATGTGTGGTGGCTGAAGGGTGTGTGTGTGTGTGTGGCTGGAGAATGTGTGGGAGATTGTGTGTGTGTGTGTGTGTGTAGCAGGAGGGGGTGTGTGGCTGGAGGGTGGGTTTATGTGTATGTGGGCTTATGTGTGTGTGTGGCTAGAGGGAGGCTGTATGTGGCTAGATAATGTGTGTGTGTGATTGTGTTTATATTTGTAGCTGGAGGGGGCATGTGTGTTTGTGTGCATGTGTTGCTGGGGGCTGTGTATGTATATATGTTTATGTGCGTATGTGTTTATGTGCGTGTATGTGGCTAGAGGGTGTGCGTGTGTTGTTGTGCCAAATAACAAGTGCCAAATAACAAATGGCTCGTGGCAGAGGAAATGTCAGGCTCTGAGTAAAAGCTCTGGATCCCGCCAGGTTTTGTTTTCTTTTCTTTTTTGACCCCTTCTTGCACGCCCTCCCCAATCCTATGGCCTCAGTACAAGTTGTGTCTAGCGGTTTCACCAAACAAACAAGGGAGCAAACAAAAAGACCTGACCTCCAGCGTATCCAAGGCTACAAAGCTCTGCTCTGACTCCTGGATCCAGCCAAATCCTGCCAATTTTTAGGTCTATTCTTCCAGATTCTACTGCCTAAACAGAGACCAGGCACAGACCTAATAGCTATTCCTATTACCACAAACAAATAAAATCAATGAACCCCAGTGCAACTCAGCCACCGAAACTTAAGACTGAGCAACAGATCACGCCAGCCTTTTGCCCCAGCCCCAGAATGTCATTGCCTAAATAGACAACAGGTTAAATGATGATAAAGCAAGTGTCCCCACACTCATAATTTGGAAGCGTGAGGGCTAGAAAGCAGCACCGTACCTAGACTCCTGGTGACCCAGAGCAAACTTTTAGTATCAGGCCCCCCTTTGCCAGAGATAATGATGAATATAATTTTTAAATTACCATTTTTGGGCCCCCCACAGATACAGCCAGAGTCACTGGAGATGCCCTAAGAGTGGATGCTCTCCTTAAACTGTCCAATGCCCATTCACAGATGGTTAAGAGCAGTCCAGGCCATGCAGGGCAGCTGCCATCCTGAGGACCGGAAGTTGGTGTTGGGGATTAAGTTTTTTAGCCTCAGTCCTTGTGCAGCATATTGCCTGCTCCAACAGGTTAAGTCTCTCCTAATATACCTTCAAAATCTTAACTTGATGCCTTTCAGTGAACTTGTGCCCTAAAAGCTTGAGTCTAGGATCTAGCCATTGAAGTTATTCAGGTACAGTAGAGTTTCAGCATTGATGACAACTAAACTGGACTTATACCAAATTCCCTTCAAAAGTTTCAGTGGACCTCATTTTAAATATAAGGAATATCTAGAACTGGTAATATCTACAAAACCAGGCTGAATGTATTAGGTACACACGTTTTACCTTATAAAATACAATTTATCTTTAATTTTTAATAATTAGCTTATTGATAAAAAAAATACACAAGTTAAAGCAGCATTTTATTTATCCCCTAGCAATGGAACTTATAATATATTGTGATTATGATCTATGTGGTGGAGAGGTTTCTGACAGCTGATGGCTCTTTGATTCAGCACCAAAAGGCTGAATGAAATTCAAGGATTGGAAGTTGAAACTAGACAAATTCAGACAAGAAAAAGGGTGCACATTTTTAGTAGTGGTGGTTATTAACCACAAGAACAACTTCCAATTGAATTTGCTGGATATTCCATTAAAGGCTGCCTATTTTTCTGAAAGATATGCTATACCTCAAACAGGAGTTATAGGCTTGATGGGGGAGTTAAGGAGAGATTCTCTGGCCTGTGTTAGGCAGGAGGTCAAAAATGATCAGAATGATCCCATACAGCTTTAAAAAAACCACTATGAGTCAACTTCCATATTTAGCAGAAGTTATGCCTGGGTTTTATTTTGATAGATTTATTTCAAGTTGCAGAATAAGGATGAATATTATAAGACAGATTATACAGCACCCATTGAGAGCATAGGAACATAGATCCTATTCAAACAGACTACATCACCTGCTAACAGTACATTCTTCATTTGGGTTCTGGTGTTTTGATTTCAATGATTCAGGTATTCAGGCAAAAATGTTGAAGGATCCATTTGAATGCACGTGCTGAATCATCATTTTGACATTGCTGCATTTTGATATTGGGATATCTTTGATTGAATTTCTTTTAAACATTCAGAGTAGCTCAACATCTCTATTTGTTAAACTGATCCTTTGCAGAGGAGGAGGGGAGAGGAAGAAAGGGAACAAGAACTATGGTAAAGTGGAATAGGGTCGATCCTGGCAGAAGAAGCAGGTTCTAAGTGTCGGAGATGAGATTTTATAGTTAACCTGTAAACCAGAATATACTCATATGTAATGGGAGCTGGTCCACTACCTTATTAACATAACATTTCTTTGCCAGTAGGCCATGTGGTGCTTGTCTCCCCTGCTTTTTTACCTGTGTCATGTTGTAGGGTGTTTTTCTTCTGTTCTCATAAGGTGCCAGTGGCATAACTAGGGTGGGGCAAAAGAAGCAGCTGCCCCAGGCACCAACTTGGGGGAAGCATGGAGATGGAAAAACCGACTGCCACTGCAGCTGTGTGATTATACCAGTAGTATGATGACAACTGGAAGTGGCTGTTGCCCTTGTGTGTGGCACCTGTCCCAGGCACTCAGCTGCATTATTATGCTTCCGCAAGGTGCTTTGTGGCTCTGGTATATGAGAAGGGTCAGAGTGGAAATTGCTTATGCTTCTTTAAAGAACTTATGTAAGCAAGGGACCAGAAACAATGATTTCAGGCACCCTCATGCCATACCTATGTTCTACTCTTAGAAACATAAGAACACCATGGAAAAGGATTTCTGGACCAGGAAGGGGGTCCAGAGAGAGGATTGGAAGAGGATTTCTGGACCATCAAGTCTAGTCCCCTGTGGGTGTAAGCATAACCAACCACCTATCCAAAGGGCTCACAAGATTGTCCACTTAGCCCCAGTCATAAAGCACCCCATGGTAATATAATGCCAAGTAGGAACAGGCATCCATCCAGGAAGAGCACACACCAACTGCTGAAACTTCCTTAGCCTGGTGAAGGGTTTTTGAACTCGAAAGCTTGCTTAATAACTATTCTCCAGGTATTTGGTTTGGTCTAATAAAAGATATCAAATTCACCCAAGGAACCTTGTCTGCCTATGTCCTTAGACCAACACGGCTACAACCTACACCCCTGCAAGTAGGAACAGATACACTTGTTCTCTGCTAGGCAGCTGCATTTATAGGATGGACATCAGAAATGGGCTGTTTCCATCAGGATGCATGTAATGGATTTAGGTGTTTGGAGTGCAGTTGTTCTGGGACATGCTGGAAATTTGTCTGTTACCTCCCCCCCCCCCCCCGCCTCACAACCCCCCCCCCCCCCCCCCAATAATACAGGTAACTAGAATTGCTCTGGATTATGCAGTGGAAATTGGAGAGCTGTTAAAACCTGTTGAAATCCAGAAGGATCTATGCTTTACTCAGACTCCCTATAAATTTTAATGGAAGAGTCAACTGGCAAAAAGGATTGACTGGCTTGTGTGTGTACTTGTGTGTGTATTATTTCTCTATTAACACTTATATCTGATTTATCCAAGTTCATAATCATTCTGCTGGATATTGTTGAGGCACTTTTATTTTTATGATCACAGGTAACGTATCACTCACTTTTCTCTACATTTGTGTTGAAAATATAATATGATTTCTTACATCCTGAATAATAATATGTAAAGGGGAAATGACTGAGTACTCCCTGAAATTTGTGTTTCCCTGCTTTCCTCTTGGATCCAGTTTTCTATTCCAAGGAACGTGTCAGGTTGATACATTATTTCCTCTCCCCCTGTTCATATTTCTCTCTAAATCCCTCTTCCTTTCCCTCTCCAAGGAAGTTATGATGCTGGTTTCACAGACTTCTGCAGCAGCTGGTTCCTGCTGGATATGAACAGCTACAGTTCAGTTCTCTGGTGCCCCTTAGTGTTAGATCTTGGAGCTCTGGGGGATAAAAAGACAGAGATACACTGGGAAAATCAGGACACTAAATACAAGTGGAAGGAAAATACCTCCGCTATAGAAAGCAATTGATTGATCTTTCTTTACAGCTCCATTAAATATATTCTACTATAGACTTGACATGAATAATTGCTATTTGATTTCATTACACTACATATAAGAGAATAGAACAATGTGAGATACTGCTCAGAAGTAGCATGCTAAAAGTATGCCCTCACATTCAGCATTACCCCCAAAGGCTTTTAGAAAATAAATAAATAAAATGCTGGTAGAATCTGATACTGACTCCACTCTGGATTGACACTTCTTATTAGAAATATTTATTACTCCTGGTGTGCCAAGGCTTGGCGAGTGTGAAGAACTCGTATAAGTCTACCTCCCCAGCAAGCAGGGTCAACAGATGTTCTACAGATTGATCTCTTTAATGCAGCTTAGTTGTGGTTTAAGTTAACTCTGCCATGTAGTGTTCTAGCAATGCAATTAGAGTTGATGTTCTTTTAATTCTTTGACTCACAATATGCAATATAACTAATTTATTTAACGCTGTGTCTCAGGGAAAAGTCTAACAGAATGAGATATGCACAACATTTAAGTAATTGCTTAACTTAAACAGTATGAGTTTTCTTAGTGCACACATTTTAACAAAACTTAACAGGGAAAAAGATTTGCTTACAGGGTGTTTTAGTGCATAAGAGTTAAAATCATATAAAAGAAGGCTTGAAATTTAAAAACACTCCTCTTTAAGTTCTGCCTTATGTAAATGTAATAAACCATAATATTCTGATGTTATGCTATTTCTCTGCTTTACTGTTGATATAGTATTGTGAGCTCTGAAGGAAACTGTTTTGAATAAGACTGCCAGTGACTTAACTGCTTGGGTCTCTCAGGTGATTTATAATGATTTTGTGATTATTGGCCTGGATTGCTTCACATATGTGTTTTTATACCTCAGGGTTTCCATTAAAAGTGTCTCTAATTGTTTCAGTACTGCCTGAGGTAAAATCCTGAAGCAGGTTATTTTGTTATATGATAAATCTTGTTTTATTACTGAATAAACTGACTGTATGGGTACTCCTAGTGTTGTGGCAATTAAAATCAGAAACATTCAACTTCCTTGCATTTACAGTGCAATACAACCTTCCTTATATAAACACAGCATGATCAAACCATTTAATAGTTTTTCCTATATATTACATTTATTTTTAGATGTAGTGATTTGGATAGATTTTTATCCTTAGATCATTATACTGCAGCTATGTCCTTAACAGGCTTACTTATTAGTTAGTTCAGTATATTCAATGTATTCTATAGTTTTTTCATTATAATCATTTTATTCAACCTGTATATAACCAGAGTTGTACGTATTTTCGTACGTATGGACTTTGAATCGGGTCCCAGGTTGGTAAATTCAAGCTCATACATATCTATTTTTGATCAATAGGTTTCTGCAGTCTATTTCATTCTTGTCCTCTTGTTCTTTGTTGCTTTTCTCTCCCCCCCCACCGCCCCCTTCAGCCTTTTTTTTTTATCCTGGTCTTCTCAGCTTGCATTTTTCAAAATGCTTTGGAATATTACAGGCCTGGATACCATATTACGGCACTCTAAAATGTGACAGATTAGAATTTATAGAACCCTTTTTGGTACATACCTGGAGATAATACTATGGTTTAGGTTGATTGAATTATCTTGGACAGGCTTGCTCTATATCCTTATGTCTTTTTCAGTGAGAAAATAAGAATACATTTTTGTTCTTTAAAATCATCTCCGAAAGGGACAGAGAGGGCAGCTATGTAAATCCAAAATTTTAACACTTCAGTGCTTAAGGCTTAGAGTTCTCTCCAAATAGCTTTAGATGATCTTTTTCATAATATTGAGGAACTGTGAGCCCAAGACATTACAAAGAGGCTTAGAGGTGATGGAGGCTAGTTCTTGATTAAAAGGAAGCCTCTGAACAAATAAACTAAAACTTCTGTGCATGCTTGGACAGGGATGCCAATATTTTGACATGTGAATAGGAATGTCAATATTTTGCTCATTAGTCAATGAAAACATCTGTGCATCCTTGCTACATAATATGCAATGCATCTTCAGTGGTTTGTTTGTGTGATTACTAAATGTAGTGCTAGATAATAGTGAATAGGATCTATGACTACCACTCATATAAATTAGCTAGGTATGGCAGAATGTAACATGCTTGCTGAAATTCCAACAAATATTATCTTTTACAGGGCAAATATCTAGAATTGTTCAGTGATGTTATTTATGTGAATGTGTGTGTGTAAAATATGGGCCCCACTGATTAGACATAATAGAAAACAGACTGATATAAATATATACAGTATTGAACCAGTATACTGAAGTGGATTGATTCCAACCATTTCAGATAGACTTGGACCGACTTGCTGTAAACAAGTCATATTACTACATCTTGCCCTTGTGACTAAAAAACTACATGAGCTCTGAGTGCACTGAGATTTCCTTGCACAGGAAGGCTGTGATGGCTTTAGGTTAGCAAGATTCTTTACTAGGTGAGTATTGAATACATGTATGACTTTCTTCTATATAGCTGTTGTTATCATTTTTGAATGTCCACAGAACTGAACACAAGGGGAGAGCCTAGAGATCCTCAGTTCTTATTGTAGCTCTGACAAGGATGTGTTGTGTGGCTCTCTTCCTTAATCATACTTATAATTATTTACCAATGAAACTGTGAGGATTAACTGTCTTCAAGCTTTCTGAATTTTACAGCAATATTAAAAAATAAAAACCAGCAATATATTTCCGATTCAGCTGTTAGTTTGGTAAGCATATCTTATTTCTACTATGTTGATGGCTAGACTGAACCAATAATTCTTCCCTTCTAGAATCCACAAGATTCTATAGGGAAAAATATGATTCTCTGTGAAGAAGACTTTGTTTCTTAGCTATCCTATCAGTAGGGAATACCCTTAACAACATTGCTTATTTTGTGGTTAATAAATGTTAATTTGATATTAAGTCACATGTTGAGAAAGTCATATGATATATTGCAATTTCTTCACTATTCATGTTATTAGAAATGCAGAATTGAATTTCCATTCTTTTTTAAACAGAAAAGTTAATTGTGTTAATTTCCTTACTCTCCAATTATCTTTACTCAATTGCAATATTTAACTCTTGCATGTTAGTTAAGAACATCTCCTTTTTGTTTCTTTTTTTTTGGTGATTCATTTGGTTTTGTTTCTCAACCTTTCTTCTCTTGTCTTGAGAGGCTTTCACTGTGAATGCCTTTGTCCACTCTACAGCATCAAAGCAAATACTGGTTTCATTCTCCTTTTCAGCACATTCACTATGTTGCCTGGATAAGCAGACAGCCACTACTTCCTAAGTGTCACTGTTACAGTCATAA